AAGACCCCGACGGGGGGGCGCACGTCTCTCTCCATCCCGCGGCCGTCGTTCAGCGGGAACTCGAGTCACGGTGGGGGCCCCAGCACGTCTGGATCCAATACGTCTGGCGCGTCACTCGCGGCGTCGCGCTCGAACGCAAGTTTCTCGTCGTCGATGAACTCCGGGCAACTCAGCGCGCGTACGCCAGTGACGCCGAGTCGGCACAAGGAGAAGAGCAAGAGCCTGAGCAACACGGGCGCGGCGGGGATGGACGTGCCGGAGCCCGATCCTGTAGACCTCATCCGCGCATACACCCTGCAGCACGCCGAAAGCGGTTTGGGGAACGACTACGTCAAGCGTAAGCACGTCATTCGCGTGCGGCTCGAGGGCGAGCAGTTCCTCCTGCAGGCGCGGGACGTGGGGGACGTCGTGGACTGGATCGAGGTGCGCTGTGTTCATATCGGAGGTGGCGCGGAGGAGGCGGCTGATCGATACATGTATAGGGCTTCCATAGCGCCACAGATATCGCGCTAGATCTGGATGAGCGGGTAATGCCAAAGGGGCCGCTGTTCCCCAGGTGAGTTGCTTCGCTGCTGTGCCGAGCTTGTGCTCACTGTTCGACAGGAGGAGGAGACGGCGCCCACGGACGACTGCGTCTACGGCGGACACTGACACTACTAACAACCTGCCTGCAACGACTCGGTGATTTCCTCGGGACTTTCGCGATCCTGTTCTTCACATCTTTCATCCGCACTCACGCATCCATGCCTGCTGCGTGTATATGTAATATAGTACATGTACTGACATACTACGTGTCGCAGGCCCGACTAAAACCATAGGTTTAAAGATGGCTGGACACATCGTAAAACTTGAAAAGGTTTGCTTCCTTCCCTGAGCTCTGCATGGCACAGGCTCTCGCCAAGTTTACATTTTTTTTTCCGCGTGGGATGGGAAAGCGCTCGTAACATCGTATTTTCTGGGTGATTTACGGCGAGACTGAGGGAGTCTCCGCGACTTTATTAGTGCCCGTCGTCCCTGAGGCCTGAGGCCTGAGGCTTCACGTTTACATGTGTGGTCCGAAGGAGCGATTTCGCAAGCTCAAGTCTACTCTTCCCTCTCCGACACAAGGGCAATCCGCGCACCTCCGGGGTCTGTGGCGGTCGGGTGGAGCATTCGCCAGCTATATGCAACACCTTCGATAGAAGAGTAGCCTGGATACCATTCGGAGTCTTCGTCATAGGGGAGCTTTCCTGAGCGAAAGTCGATCTAGACGGCTGATTTCTTCCAGGTAGGAGGGTGTTATGGGGGAGAGGTCTGTGGGGTCGTTTAAGGCGGCATCGAGCCGGCGCTTCATGGCCACATTACGTTCCCCGGGCATAGTACCTCTTCTCGCAGGCTGTTTCTTCCTTTGCGCCCCCAGACCTGGGCCTCCCCCTCCTTTTCCTCCTCGCCGGCCCGAGCCTCCGCCCTCGTCCCTTTCCTTCCTCTTCCTCTTCCTCTTCGTTTCCTGCTTGCCGCGACCGCCGTTGTCATGTTGATGGCTGTCTTCGTTTTCATCGTCGTCTTCATCGTCTTCCTCTTCTCGATGATTTCCGTCATCGCCGTCGTCGTCGCCTTCCACAAAATGGAGAACATCCTCCTGCAGTTGTAAAGGTTCGTTGGCAAGATAGAAATTATTCCACACAAATCTCGCGAAGAGATAGAAAGCGCGAATGCGGCTGGGCAAGTTCACCTCACGGAAGTTGTGGGTTCGCGCCAAGTGAAGAGACCCGTTTCCGATCCACAAAGTTACCCAGTGATTGGCGTATGGGTAGAAGCAAAAGTGACCCTTATCCAGTCCGCGGCCGCTGAGATCGCTCCTCAGCGAGACTCGATTGTTCATGGTGTTCACTGAGATGCTGCGATAGTCTTGTGCTATTGCGCTCACTGTGTACTTGACGAACTAGGACTTGTAAATAAGTAGATGAGCTCCATTGACTAGTGTTGGGTGCACACCCAGCGCTGTTCCGAACTTGGAATCAGGTGCGCTGAGGCCAGGGGCTCGCTCATCCGTGTTACAGCACACAGTTCTGTCCATGTTTCTCGCGGTGAAGCTGACGGCTGATTCCGGCGGCTGAGGGTGTGTAGCTTCGTCGGGGTCTGGTTGGTCTCGAAGATCCCAAAGCCACTCCTCAGGCGGCGACATCGGGGGCGCCCAGTCAGAAAACTTGCGGCAGAGCCCATACTAGCCCATATCTGTTATGAATTTCAGTAACAACAAGGGCCAAAGGTCCCGACACGTACCTAAATTTCGGGTCTTGGTCCTTTGAGCGGTACATGTACTGCCCTGGCTTTAACATGGAGGCGGTCGGGACCTCTGTCGTCAGAGCCGTAGGCACACCCGACGAAATATACAGATGATGCCAGCTTTGTTGTTCGACAGAACTTTGCAGGCCAGGTGAACAAGACTGTAGGGTAGCACGTAACTGTCTGGTTCGGCCTCGGGACTCAAAGGACAACAGTGGAGTTTCGAGAATTAGTCTCCTCGGAGAGTAGCCGTGATGGAAGATGGAAATCTTTCGAGGAACGACAGGTACTCCGTCAGGAAGGACAGGGCGGGGCATGGGTGTGTCTCCGACACGATGATGGTACGCATTCACGTCTGCTGCCTCACGGTATGCCTACATAGATCAATGAATGTGGTGTATGTACCATCAAATTCCCACGGGGCTTGTTTGGCGACAACGCGCCTCTGCAGATAACCTGCGGAGTCGTTTCCGACCTCGATCCCTTCCAATCATCCTTGGATACCCCTGCATTCATCCTTTCATTTTCTCTCTCTTGCGCTTTTGCACGGCCTACTCTGCCCTTACCCTACACCTTACGCCGGCCCTAGCCCCGATACCCGCTTCCTTGAATACTAGACGCATTTAATCGCCCATGGCGGACTCTGCGATAGAGATCGACCTCGACTCGGTCATAGACAAGCTCCTCGAAGGTGTGTCGGAGCCCCGCAGCGTTACTCGCAGCCTCGCTGAATATACATACGCCACAGTACGGGGGAACCGCCCGGGCAAGCCGGTACAGCTGCAAGAGTACGAAATCAAGTACCTGTGCACCAAGGCACGCGAAATCTTCATCAGCCAGCCCATTCTGCTCGAGCTCGAGGCGCCGATCAAGATATGTGGTGCGTCGTGTGCCGGTATTACATGCCAGGAGTTGACGAACGACGTGGTACAGGAGACATCCACGGTCAATACTACGACCTGCTGCGGCTGTTCGAGTACGGCGGCTTCCCGCCCGAGGCGAACTACCTGTTCCTCGGCGACTACGTTGACCGCGGGAAGCAATCCCTCGAGACCATCTGCCTGCTGCTCGCGTACAAGATCAAGTACCCCGAGAACTTCTTTATCCTGCGCGGAAACCACGAGTGCGCGTGTATCAACCGGATATACGGGTTCTACGATGAGTGTGCGGTGCTGTCTACTTTTTCTGGCGTGTGTGTTGACGGGTGTCCGGCAGGCAAGCGGCGGTACAACATCAAGTTGTGGAAGACGTTTACGGACTGCTTCAACTGCCTCCCGATTGCGGCAATCATCGACGAGAAGATATTCACGATGCACGGCGGGCTGAGCCCGGACCTGCAGTCGATGGAGCAAATACGAAGGGTTATGCGCCCGACGGACGTGCCCGACACGGGTGAGTCCGCACCTGTGGCCGCCGCACCAGTGCTGAGTGCGTGATTGGCGCGTAGGGCTGCTTTCCGACCTGCTGTGGTCCGACCCCGACAAGGATATCACCGGCTGGTCAGAGAACGACCGCGGCGTATCCTTCACTTTTGGCCCTGACGTTGTCGCGCGCTTCCTCCAAAAACACGACATGGACCTTATATGCAGAGGGCACCAGGTGCGTCGCCTATCTCTTGTATCGGATGCCCCGTGGCTGACGCGCAGTAGGTCGTCGAGGACGGGTATGAGTTCTTCGCGAAGCGGCATCTCGTCACGCTCTTCTCTGCACCAAACTACTGCGGCGAGTTCGACAATGCGGGTGCGATGATGAGCGTCGACGAGTCGCTGCTCTGCTCGTTCCAGGTGTGTCACCTCCCCCACTTCTCTTCTGCCTCGTGTCTCATGCCACACCGCAGATTCTGAAGCCGGCAGAGAAAAAGCCAAAGTACCCGTATGCAGGCAACAACGGCGTAACTACACCGCGGAGGCAGCAGAAGAAGCGCGCCGCGTGATCCCCCGCTTGGCCACTCTGGTGCCTATAGACTCGAGTTGGTGGGCGGCTTGCGCCCGCACACCGCGTGTACGATATGTTGGTTGCGTGCTTCATTGACTTTTTATTTGGTCTTTTTATTGGGGGACATGTGCGAGCTGCGTCATGTTGTATCATTGTCGCGTACTTGAAGTGTGCGGCATGAAAAATGGTTAAACCGCCTCTGGAAATGGTGCGCTCCGAATGGGGAAGTGTCAATCACTTTTCTTGCCGTCTCCCAATATCTGGGTCGTCGGGCTCCCAGCGCATGTGTCGGGAGGCGTCAGCAAAGCTATGTTCTACTTGATGACCGCGACGGCAGCAGCAACACCTGCTTCAAGGGTTTTCCGAACTATACGCGGAAGCGGGAGGAAAATAGTAAATACGCTTGAACCGCTCAGGCGCTCAATAATGCTAGACTGTGGACCGATCGGTATGCTTGGATCCCCGACCGCGGTAATCCATAGTATGCCATTATATGGGATTTTTACTCATCGGTGCCGCACTGCTTCATGAGCACTTCAAGACCATTGACCCGAACTAACTGCGTCCCAAAACGGTTTTGCTCGTCCGCTTATATAAGATATCAATCCTAATCGGGAACTGTCGATTACTTTTTCTCTTGTGCCTCCCGTCAAGACTCCTCCGCATCTGGTACTCTGTAGCTTCCTGACACACAGAGCCCGCTGAAAAACGTGTTGGATAAGTCGCCAAAGAGGGAAAAAAAAGTCTGCCAGAGCAATCGCAATCGGATAATCGATAATCAGGGCGGAAGGAGCAAAACATGATTCGACCCGGGCTCGAACCGAGGACCGCCTGTGGAACCATCCCAAGGATGTTAGACAGAAGTGATAACCAACTACACCATCGAACCGATGAGGAATGAGCAAAACACCGGGTTATGTCGGAAAGGGAAATAAAGACTTACCAAATCGACAGAATTGATATTTTGCCCTTGAATGATGTTCCGCTGGGAGAGCACAGTCAGATTCTACTGATTACAGTATCCAACCTATGGAAAGACAGCAGGAAGGTGATTCAGGTTGGGCTGGGCGAACATATTTCGAGTCCCAACTTCAACTTACCGGTTCAACTTACCGAACCCAGTGTTCTCAAGTGGCAGCGATTCGTAACAACGGTAAAGTGGCAGCGATTCGTATTAACGGTTTCGCAAGGCATCAGCGCCGTTCATGCGTTGACGCAAGAATTATCCTCAGTCCAACGGGTGGTCCAACGTCCCATTGTAATTGAATTCAGACGAGATAGAATCTGTGTTTAGTGTCACAGGCAGCAAAAAAAAAGGTTGGGCTAGCCAGACATACTGCATGTTGCCAACAAAAGCATGGCACGGGTCTTGTCAAAACTCCCTTGGCACATTGATTGGCGACGTGGGAAATCTACGGAATAACGATGAATTCTATCAGAAGACAGACCCTCCGCCTGTGCAGGTTGATAATGTGAGATATGAGATGCTTCCCCGGAATTGAAGAACGAACCGTCGACCAAGATATCGGCGCCGTTGATATATCGTCCTGCCGGGCTGCAGAGCAGAATCACCACGCCTGCCAACTCACTGGGGTCGCCCATGCGTCCCATCGGATTCCTGCTAGTCCATATATCACGCGCGGCGGCCAGCCCGTCACCCTCATTGAGCACAGTGTCCATGTATCCCGGGCTGATACTGTTCACCCGGATCCCATATCTGGCCCATTCGGCCGCCAGCGAGCTCTTGAGCTGTAGTAGAGCGCCCTTGGATACGTTATATGCTACTTGCGGCTGGGGAAAGTTAACAGTATGGCCGGAGATGGATGCAGTAAACATGATGCTGCCGCCAGTGTTCTGTTTAATCATCTGCCTGACCCGCTGATGAGTCAAGGGAGCAAGGCATAAGGCGGTGCACCTACTTTCCCACAGCTTGCGCACAGATCCAGCTGCCCGTGGTGTTGATCTCTAGCATGCGTCGCCATTGCTGTATGGTCATCTCCGTCGCGTGCATAGCGCCAACCACGCCCGCGAAGCAGAGCAGAATATCAACACTGCCCAGCTCGCTCACAGTCTCGTTCACGCCACGCGCCACTGCGTCTTCGGACGTGATGTCGACAACCTTTGTTAAGATCTTCGCGTGCGGGAAGGTCTCGCGCAAAACAGCCAGCGCGGAAACGGCGTGCACAGATTCGAAGGATGGGACGAGATCGAAGAGCGATATCCCGGCAGCGCCGTGTTCCAACAAGGCACGCACTGCTTCGAGTGCGAGCACGCCTGCGCCGCCGGTGACTGACAGGCTTCAACGAACGAGCTGTTACCACTCGACTCACGCACCAATTACATTTCCTCTGACCGTGAAACGCAGCCTCGCAATGTCCGATGGCTCGATAACGGATGTTGGATCGCGGCGAGAAATAGGAGCATTGAGGGGATTTTCGCCATGGGAGAGGGTCATGAACGGGCAGATTCGATCCTTCAGAGCATCGCGGGAGTAATTCTCGTCTGCCATATTTTGGACCGGTGGGGGCAAGAGCAAAGAAGCTTCCAAGCTGGCGCATCCATATGCTGCTTATGCATGATCTCTCGCATCATCTGACAACGTGTCGGGATAAGCCTCTGCCGCAAAGCAATGATGATTAGAGAAAAAACGTGAAGATTACTCCGCGCTTGTAATTGAATCATTCTCCAACATCGCGGCCCACAAGTTATCCATCTCGTACAGTGTCGACAAATGCTTCCCCGGAACCCACTTGATCGTCGAATTCCTATAGTTCGCCTTCAACCAATTCGCCATATCCGGTCCCAGATCGTCTTGCTGCGAGGCAGCAATCATCATGGGTCGATTTATGGTATGTTCATCATCCAATTGGTTGGGGCAGAAGCCCCAGTCGGAATGAATAACATCAGCGACCTCGATGAACCCTGCCCACGACCTGGAGATGCTCTTGACCATGTTGGCGGCCATTTTCCTCTCGAGAACTCCCTCTTCCAGCCCGTACGAGTCGCGCCACTTTGCGAAAGCCGCACGCTCCTCTGGCGCCGCGCTGTCGAACAAGAGTTGCCGAAGGAAGGCCTCAGCCTTGTCCACCGTGTTCAGCTTCAACGAGAGTCCGGCAATAGCCATGCGCTGGAGAGGCTGCAACGGGAGGATGCGGGAGGGCGGGCCGACAGAGAGGTAGTTTGTCCAAGTCATGGACTTGGCGTACTCCGTGTGCCACTTGAAAGGGGAGAAGGGTGCCCCAAGAAGACAGCCAACGATGTTCCGTCCCAGAGGGAAGGTGTCGAAAGATGCGCCATAGATCATCTGCGCCGGAACGGTGCCGTAGGAGCCCCCTCCGACATAGATGCGCAAATCAGGGGAGTTCGGGTGGAGGTGGTTTATCAGCTCCGTCAAGTCGGATGCGAGAGTGGCCGCATAACTCTTGGAGGTGGGCCGGGGGGAGGAGAAGCCCCAGCCTGCGAGGGTAGGTGTGATGTAGTGTGCATTCTTCGCTATAAGCACTGGGGAGACAGCCATAGGGGCGGATCCAACGCCAAAGACGCCGTGGAAGAAAATGACAACGAGGGAACTGGATGCGTCACCCACATCCTCGTACGCCAAAGTTCTACCGTCAGAAAGGGGAAGATATTTCTCTGAGGCCATGATGGGCAGTGGGAGGTGCAGGTGTGCGCCTGAGGGGGCTCCTTTATACCTGATCAGCTTGCCCCTCTATAACTTATCAGCTGTCGGACCTCAAGGCCTCACTGCGTAAAACTGCGTACCTGTCAAATCACTGTGTCCCTTCAATCTATCGCTATCGGTTGCATATTGCGGAAAAGACTGGACTCAACCCAAACGCGACCGTCAGGAGAACCACGGAGTTCCCATATGTCAGCTTAAGATGAACCATAGCGAAAGTTCCATTTGACTTGTTCAGCCGGTGGGTCCGCAAATGAGAGCGGGAGTCGGCCATAGTGGTCGAAGCTGCTAGCTTACATAGAGAGACTCGGAACTCAGAGAGAACTTATTGGAGAAGAGCCAGGAGAAGCGCAAACGTCGTCGACTCATCACCCGGATCATCGGCACCACATCCTCATATTCGGCCCGAAACCTCCGAAAAACGACAGTAATACACGCGGAGCTGTCAAGATGTCTGATCGGCATTGGTCGGCACTGTGTCTTGCCGAAATCCAGTGTTGAACCACTGCCATCCACTGGATTCCAATGGATTCTGATGGGGTCCACTGGCTCATGGTCCGCCGCCCTATGTACAACGGAAAACAGTGGGATCCGGTGGTTTAAAATTCCCGTCTCCGCTGGTTCCAGAAATTAGGTCACTTACAACCGTTCCTAGTTGAGTTTTTAGGGGGAGTGTACACATCCACCAGTTATTCATTATTTCCCAGTGGTGCAGGATGTATGTGGTCTACGACACGACGTGCGAGATGATACTGTCGGCACCGGTGTCCACTTAAGCAATCAAGTTGGCCGGGAACCTGAAAAGGTCACGAAGCGACTCAACTTGATCTCAATCACTCAATCAAGTGGTTCAGTCTCCCGACTCATTAATCCGCACTGAATCGGACGGTGTCCTATTCACAAAGACGAAAAATGAAGACTTAGATTCTAGCTTCTCTGACAGTCTCCACTGAAAACCACCGGAATCCGATGGAAATGGGGCCGGCAGACCGGCGAACACCGCTGGTGATTGATGGATCTCGGCAGTCTCATTGGTATACAGTGTCCATCAACATCAGCCAATGTCCACCGATGGCCACCGGTGTCCAGTGGTGGCCGCCAGCGAACTTTCCAGCGGCGGGTATATAACTCAAAAACGACTTCGTCCTTTTTCAGTCCTCCATCGGTCTTGCATTGGTCGTCCATTGTGGCATTGTCAAGTTCAGGCTCATCAAGTCCCACCCGCTCAATTTCTTTTTTTCCAACCTCAGTTTCTCGTATATCCGGCGTCGGAAACTGAATTATTATGTGACGTACTCACGGGCCCACGCACGGACCATTCGTGAGTCTTCCATGAAAGTGACACAAATAGGGCACAACATATATCTCGCTCAGTGACGAATATGGACCAAACAGGTCTTATTCCGATTGGGGTGTGTCTCATTGCGCATCGACGCGTGCACCTATTGCTGACCGACGCCCAGCTGAAGCCGGAAGCCGCTTCCCAGCGCGAAACCGATACTTTTATCGTCTCGATACCTCAGGATCGCCTTTGCATACGCCTGTTCCCGGGAGGGACCCGCCCTGAGGCGGGTATGTTCTTCTTCGATTTTTACGACGCTCAACGACAGGTGGCTGTTAATGCCCCGCGAGGGTATGCAGTGACAATTGTGTGGCCAGGCGGTCTAGCGGGTCCCATTACCTCTGTGGAAGCTACGCTGGGAGTGACGCCCGATGAAGGATTGGAAAAGTTCACTGTAGTGGAGAAGGTTCGGTGTTCTCTTACTCGGCCTCGACAGGAACCCTATCTCTTCGACATCCCGTCCCGCAGCCGTCCAGCAGCAGGGGTTGGGCAGGCTGTCCGTGTCCAGTAGTCAGTCGGTCGTCCCGATTATCTCTGAAATCGAAGTTTGTTGTTGGCCTCTCTCAGCCGCCCATCTCCGAGAGCTTTCTCACTGGGATGCATGTGCATAGTCTAGTCTTACTTGTCAGGTGACAGACGCAGGTCGACCTTCTGTCGTGCTGTGCTCACCAAGGTACAGTACGCTATGTCCGCCGTACTCTTTCGCGACGCGATGCTCTCTGTGGTCGCTTGTGGTCTGGTACTACAAGTCCTTCATCGGTCGAACAGTGAACTATACTTATGTGAAGCACAGACAACTCATTTTCTCTTCAACCGATTTGAGAAGGGCTCTCTCAAGCTGCTCGTGCGAATATCACTACTTTTGCCT